GGCAAGGTCCTACTGAGAATTCTCACAAGTAGTAACTGCAAGAAGACAAGTAATATTAAGACTGAGGAAAATATCTAAGTACAGGATATGCTATATACTTCTATGTATGAGGCAGTGACCAGGATAACTATGTTGTAAAGCTATGTACCAAGGATATAGTTTGTAAGTGCTTTACACAGGCAAAGACATAAGTCAGAGCGGATATCAATATGTATGTGTCGGATCAGTGATTGAGCAGTAATATGTAGTAAAGCTATGTACCAAGGATATAGTTTGTAAGTATTTTACATAGGCGAAGACATAAGTCAGAGCGGATATCAGTATGTATGTGTCGAATCAGTGATTGAGCGGTAATAGGAATTACTGGTGATCCAGAAGTAAGGGTCTATGTACTGAAGGGGAAAGTATATATCTAAAAGGGGAAAGAGGTCCAGTTGAATGGAGAGGTTATGGAAGGGGACCGGTTTGAGCGGTCAAGCGGAAGCGTAGAAGTGGAATGTGGACTGTGATTGGACGGAGCGGAGGATGGATGGAGTGGAGGTGGTCAGAAAGTGGAGCAGATATCAATATCGGAGTGGTCAGATCAGGTATATGACATCTAAGCACAGTATCTAACAATATCTCAGTCTGTATATGTCCATATACTGGACCTTTCCCTTTCTGGATATCCCCTGTTCCTCCAGCTATTGGTTATATACATTCCCATCCTTCTTTTTGTTCTGTTTCCCCTATTCATTTTCACTTTCATCTCTAAGCTATGTTCTGTTCTCCTAGTTCATTTCTAACTTCATGAATATGATCCATCTTTTGTGTTAATCAGCTTTCCATGTGCTCTGTACATAGCCTTGGACTTTGCTTACTGATTCTCCTACTGGATACCTACAGTATATAAACCTCCTGTAACACTCTGTATGTCCTAAGTTCAAATATTATCCTAGATTCTGCTTATTCCTGTTCCTCCTGGATTGATCACATAATACAGTGAATACTTCCCATATTATATGGACACCCAAAGTTGAGATTCTGCCAAGTAAGATGGGCCATCCAAGATAGGTCCAGGTGTAGGTGTGCCCAGTAGAGTTGATTGGCCCACAGGCATCAGGGTACATACTCAGGTAAGGGGCACAGCACACACAATGAAGCCAAGCCCCTTGGACTCTGCCTGACCCCTGAGCATGGTCCTTAACACCTCCTTGTTTCCATTCTGCTTTGGACTTCATCCGAGCAGTCTCATCTGCTCCACTTCTACTGTTGGTTCCAAGCACCTCCCCTGTTGGACAGCACAACTTCTGCCTGACTTTCCCACACTCATCTGGTAGTCCGTTGGCCCTCCTTCAGAGAGTCTCCCCTCTGACATCCTGTTGGAGCTCATAGAACTTATGTCAGAGTACAATCCGAAATTAGGGGCATGTACTCAGGTAAGGGGTGCAGTGCACAAGGTGAAGCCAAGCCCCTCAGACTCCACCTTAGAGCCAGTTCGGTAACCAATATTGAGCCAAAATTTTCTAAATGCTAGTTGGCGGCATACAACCAGCTGGTGCAGAGTCTGAAATTTCTTTCTTTCCGACCATGACTACACTCACTACTGCCAAGGATCATATCGACCATCAATATTGAAAGCATATCTATGCAGCTGTTGCTGCTATCATACTCTGTACACAATTTCAGATAATGCAGATCGCTCAAGAGGAGTGTCAATCCAAGGTGCCAGCAGCACTGAAAGTCATCTTGAATGAAGCAGAGATTCATGGTTTACTGGACTATCTGATCAAACACAGATCGAAGCTTGCAGGAACTACCTTCAATCTCGAAACTTTCAGTTTAGCTGCAATAGATATTGCCAGCAAGAAGACACATGGCCCCATGAACACTGGGACACATTGTAAGAACAAATTTTCCTTGGTATGGTACCTCTCTACTCAGCTACTAGCGCCACACTGACCCACTAATTGTTAGAATAACCAAGTGAACCAAGCCACAAGTGAGCTAATGAGAGTGAACAGGACTATAGTCCAGTGTCAGTTGCTATTGTGTTGTATAAACTAATGAGTGTACTATACCTATAGTCCAGTGTCAGTTGCTGAAGAGCAACCAACACAGGACTTGCTACCTATGGGCGAGTCTATGTAAACAAGTGTAAACACTGCCTAAGTAAGTAAGGAATTCACATCACATGCTAAGTGAGAGTCCAATAGAGGAAGCAACATCATAACACAAATAACTCGCACCATAAGGTGCTCAATCACCACAACTAACAAGGCATTGGTGCCAGACTCCCTCGACGCAATAGGCAACCTCCCAGAGACTGGTGGAAGCTCTCTCCAGCTCAGCTGACTGATGTTGTTGATGATGAGACTGAGGATGCTGACTTTGCTCAAGGATTTGAGCTTGCCTTGTCTACCAGCTCTTCCACCGAGCCATTGTCTTATAGGGAGGCATTGACTCGACTTGATGCAGAGCAGACCACCAGACCAGACATTGCCTACGCTGTTGGCTGTTTAGCTCGATTCAACTCCAACCCTGGCCCTGCCCATTGGCAAGCTGTCAAGCACCTGCTTCGCTATCTGAAAGGCACTGCAGACTACTCCATCACCTATGCTCCTGATCCCAATTCCATCGAACTCTTCTCCACATTCTCTGATGCTGATCATGGTGGATGCAAAGACACTGGTCGCTCCACTGGTGGCTACCTGGTCAAGATTGGCCTTGGTACTGTCTCCTGGTCGTCAAAGCTTCAAAGCATTGTGGCCTTGTCCACCACTGTGTTAGTTGTGGTGATTGAGCACCTTATGGTGCGAGTTATTTGTGTTATGATGTTGCTTCCTCTATTGGACTCTCACTTAGCATGTGATGTGAATTCCTTACTTACTTAGGCAGTGTTTACACTTGTTTACATAGACTCGCCCATAGGTAGCAAGTCCTGTGTTGGTTGCTCTTCAGCAACTGACACTGGACTATAGGTATAGTACACTCATTAGTTTATACAACACAATAGCAACTGACACTGGACTATAGTCCTGTTCACTCTCATTAGCTCACTTGTGGCTTGCTTCACTTGGTTATTCTAACAAAGATTCTGTTAGTTGTGGTGATTGAGCACCTTATGGTGCGAGTTATTTGTGTTATGATGTTGCTTCTTCTATTGGACTCTCACTTAGCATGTGATGTGAATTCCTTACTTACTTAGGCAGTGTTTACACTTGTTTACATAGACTCGCCCATAGGTAGCAAGTCCTGTGTTGGTTGCTCTTCAGCAACTGACACTGGACTATAGGTATAGTACACTCATTAGTTTACACAACACAACAGCAACTGACACTGGACTATAGTCCTGTTCACTCTCATTAGCTCACTTGTGGCTTGGTTCATCTGGTTATTCTAACAGATTCATTGGAACATCTAGAGTACACCAATATGCGGGTATCAATGACATGTTCTTGGGTATTGTTGGGAAGAGTCCAAATTTGCACAAACAACAACATGATTGGGGTACTGTTCAGGGCATGCTTATCCTTGCCGAATGATTGTAGTAGTGCCGTCCATGGGTCCATATCATATATGTATACATTTTCAACAAAGCAACCAAGCGCTGGGACAACAAGCAAATCCACGGTGTATGTCATATACCTGATCCGACTGCTGCGTCAATATTAATATCCGCTCCACCTGATGTCCTACTTCCCCCGCTCTCCTACCACCTCCGCTCCATTCACCCTCCACATGGCCCAGTCAGCTTCTGCATCCGCTCCTATGGCTCTGCTCAACCGCCTCATCGGTTGCCTTCCACATCATCCATTCTACTGTAAATCCTCTTGCCCCATTTAGGTACATACTTTCCCCATTTGCACTTAGTACTTACTTCCCAGATCACCAGTACTTCCTATAACCGCTCAACTAACTGATCTGACGCGTACATATTGATATCCGCTCCGACTTATATTTTTCACAACTTGGTACATAGCCTCCTACCAAGGACTAACCAGTCACTGCCTCCTACTTAGAAGTATATAAAACATATCCTGTACTTAGCTACACCCCAGTCTTAATATTACTTGTCTTCCTGCTGTCTCTACTAGTGGGAATTTTCCGTAGGACTTTGCTCCCTCTCCAGACACAAGTATACCTTGTTGTCACCTCTGATCCTCCACTCCAACTTTAAGAGCCACCCTCTAAAGTGTTCGCTCTTACTTCTCTGACTTCCCCTATTATTCCCCTTGCTCCCCTCCGTTCCAACCAAGCGGACCAAAGCAGTCCACTCATCCTATCATCGGACATCGTCAGATCCGCTCCAAATTCAGGGCACGTACTCGGCTAAGGGCACAGACAGCACAAGAGCTGAAGCCAAGCCCCAACCCCTCCCCTTCTCCATTCAAGCACGGTCTCTAACAGTGTACACGCCAGCAAAGGACAAAATGAAATCAAAGATATCCCTGGATGTGATATATAAGAACCAACATTGACAGAATTCCACTTCTAACTCACATTTCAACGAGCTTCTTCAAATGGTTGACACTTGCAGCAACTCTCCCCGTAGATCCGCAGGAGCAAAGAACGATCCCATGAATGAATGGCCTGACAATGAAGTTGTTATTTAAATTTTGAATTGCTTGGCACCACGAGAGAAGGTGAACTCTCAAGTAATTTTCCAGGAGCTAGGAGAGGGACAATGAAGAAACTTGAGAATTGCTGTAGGGTATGTGGTTGAGTGGCTTACCTCATGTACTGGTACTGAAGTTGAGTTAGTCACATTGCCAGAAACCACAAGATCCCTGGTGTTGGTGTCTGAATGGGTGTCAATGAACATGAGCAGGTTGCGATGGTATTCGAGGCTCACAAGCCACTCGAAATCAGGCTTGACAGTGTTTGGACAGTTATTTCCACCTTTAAGTTTGTGAGTGGCTATCCTCAACTATGGGCATGACTTTCAAATACAATTTGGGTGATAATATTGAATGGCTTACCCTCATGGGAACAAGGTGGAAGTGTTCCTGGAGGGTCCGTCAGACAACATCCGCAGTGTATTCCTGATTGAAGCCGCTCCATGACAAGAACACAGAAAGGAGGGGGAAGTAGTTGCGGTGGATGAACTCCTGTCTCACCGCATATCCTTGAATCTTGTACTAGGAACATTCAAGGTCAACGAGCACATTTCATCAATGAGAAATCAACGACATACGGGGAGTGGCAATGACTGTGCAGGATAACATTTAGGACACCGAAAGGTTGTCTCATCCACCTGGACCTGACCTGTGAGCTCTTCTGGGAACACATCAACACATCCATGATCTTCATTAGCCTTCACAACACAAACCCTAATCTCACAACCTTTGCTCATACACTTCCATATGTATGAGCCAACATCGTGACAATACATACAATGCTGTCCTACAGGTTATTAGTCACACACTACAATGATTGAAAGAATACATACATCAATGGCATCCTGGATTCCACGTGGCTCTAACTGCTGCCCAGTATCAACTTCATCATCCATAGTCATATCGATGTCATTGTCCCGGTCAGTAAGAATGGGAGTCAGCTTTTCATATGGGGAATGGAGTGACTTGGCCTTTGGGGTATGCTTTGTTGTAGTTGGGCGAGAGTAGTGACCTAAATGACCAGGAGCAATCATGTTGAAGCTATGGATAGATGGTGAGTGGAAGAAAGAGTTATGCACGTGATCACAAAAGGTAGGGTACTTATCATTTTCCTAGGGCCATATTGTGAACCTGTTCCACCAACATTGTTTCACAATGGATCTGTCGAAGTACTCCACCGAGAATCCCATTGTTCTTGAATTACAAAAGCACACACTGAAAGTGATAGACACCATATTGGCTTACAAATTCTCATTGGCCCAGGCTGGCACTACCCTGACACTCTACATCAACAACAAAAAGGTGTGTGATCTTGTGTGCAATGCCCCTTATTGGCCAATACAATGGAAGTACATAGGTGACTGTCCCGAATCAATGCTATGTTGCATTATGGCTACTGCTTCATCACATTCATATATATCAGCGTACCTGCCGGGCACTCCTTGAGCTGGAGAATTCACCTGAATCTGTCTGCACCACCTACAAGTCAATCATGTATTACTACTGTGAGGTACTGCTGGCATTCTGCAAAGAGGTACAGGATGATGCCCCTGGTTCAGACAAAGCATGGTGTTCGGCTCATCTCGACTACCATTTTACAATGGCATTTAACAGCAACGTATTCAATAAGAAAATGCAGCATGTCAAGCTGAGACGGATGTAATGCACATGGACTGATTTTAAAACAAGCAGAAGATCTATGCACCTATCAAGACACGTGCATGACAGCCAGATACTTGACAGTTTCATTCATGCTGATCCATCATTCATTCAGTCCTACAGACTACCATACATTATCATGCAAGGACCAGGACATGTGTGGTGATACGACCAGGATGCACAAGGCTTCAGTGGAAAATATGATTGACAATGTAGTAGGACAGTACAAATCCAGCAGTCCAGTGGTGGGCACATTGGTGAAGCTCGAGAAGGCAGTTCAATTCGATCCTGGTGTTCAGGAACAGAAGGGAAAGGTGACCAGTAGGACCACCAGAAAGGTCAAAGCAACTGTGGCCCCTATAGGGTCTGCAACATCCTCAGGCACTACCTCTCACCTAGAGGAGGATGATATTGACGAGGCTGCAAATTTGTTCCATATCAAGCAGGACAGAAAAAAGACACCTAATGATAGAGGGCAGCCATCAGGCAAAGGTTGGTCTCAGGGAGATCAACTGACCATGGCAATCCCATCAGTACACTTATTGATTAGGATGTTCGCAGAAGCGCCACAACACATGCCACTACTGACATAGTACATATTCACTGATCGACTGCATGCACATGTACTAACTTCCAAATACTCAGCAGGGTCAGGCTCGCACGAAGCGTCCTACAAGGGCTGTCAGCGCCAAAGGAAAATCAAAAGAAATTGTCGAGTCTGAAGAAGAAGTCTGTGTGTCCATATGCAAATGCTATCTTGTCTAATGCACCGTGTCTACTAGGATGTCGACGACAATGCTGCCACATATTCAACACCTGACATTGTGTGTAACGACCTATCGATGTTATTGAAATGATCTAACACAGAGAAGTATGATACAGATGGGGGAAATCAGGGCATGCAGACCATGCACAAAGTGAATGTCTTATTGACCGCAAATGGACGATCAGCATTTGACTCAGAGACCACAAATAAGATGGTATGTCCCACTAGGACGACAGAATTATATCAACTAACAACCTGCAGAAAGATGTGCTATCACAGAAGCAGCCCCATAAGGTTGTGTTGAGAGGCGACAAGGTAAGGTCATCGTTCGGTGATTCTGGACTGTCAATTCACTGCATCAATTAGGCTGATGTAGTCCAGGATAAATATAATCTCAACACTGGACACACCACAGGCACCGTTGTGAGTCTGCCATACCTCTATATAAGACAATGTGCAGCCTAACATGAGGCAGGAGGATCCACGGGAATATGATGATGTTGAGCTCCCACCCACCCTTCACAACTGGGAGAAACAGGATTGTGTTTGAGAAAGGAAACTCACACATTTTCTTGAAGCTTGGGACATGGATCCTGCTTTGATTGCGACAGGTGGCAAATCATCCAATTGATGGGGATGTCGACGGAACACTTATTCCTGATAGTCCTGGGTGTCTTGAGATTAATGACGGCACCAATTTCAATGATGCAGTAGGGATGGACCATCTGTATTCCATGCTTGTGCACATCGACACGCATCCTCAATACTTAGCACATATTTTCCATGAGCTGGGAAAGGCGTCATATGAAGAGCAACTCGGAAGTAGTCACCCTAACTTTAGGCCTCTACCAGAACTACCGACTCCTATTCATAGGTATGTGATTGGCTGGGAATATTGCCTGACTAACCCTGACATTAGCATGATATTGCACGACAAGTTGAATTGGTTGCAGGTCTTGTCACATGATGATGATGATGAACATGCTGATTATGTGGATGCCAAAGGAGATGTTGATGATGATGATGGTGATGATGATGATGGAGATGTAGCAGGGGCCCTCAATGATATGGACATCTCAGAGTCGACTGACCTTCCAGATGGAACAGATCAGCAAAAATGGAAGAGGGCCATGTCGAGCACGTTCTCTCCCCCAAAGGTAATGTATCTGTTCTGTCTGAACTGCCCACGTCTATCTGACCTTCTTTCACACCATTTCAAACAGAGTCAAGGCGGACGGGGCATCCAAAGTGTTCCAAGAGCAGGATAGCAAAGCTCTTTAATCGTCCCTCATCACCTGTTGTGTCATCCATTGGCAAATTTGCAACAGCCCAGTGGATGCCATTCACATCTCGTGTCATGCATGACCATGATATGGAAGGTGGCTCTTCCTCAACGAGTCAGCCCCCTCTCACACAGGACAGTCCACACAAGGGTAATATCAGCGAGAGTGATAGTGATTCTGAGAATTCTGGAGTAGATCCACCCAGGATGCCTACTCACTCATTGAGCGACATGTCTATTGGGGGTCTTACATGAGGTTCAAATGTGAGGACTTGTTGCTTCAACACCAGAATGACTTCACAAATTCCCCAGTGTTGGTTTATGTGCATGAGCAGTACATTGAGGTGTTGTTATCTCAAGTGTTGAAATAGTGAATCCTGCTTGAATCTTGGACAGGATGACATTAATTGTGTAAAGTATTGTATCGCAGAGGCCGAGTCATTTACCATGTCACATTATGTAATGTCAATGATATATGAATTCTTCGCTTTCAAGTTTATGGTGGATGTGGAAGTGTAGGTATGTAACTTACTGTGTAGCATGATAAAGATGTGAGATGTGTAGCATGTGTAATATCTATTAGTACAGTAGTTGCTGCCCAGTTCAATTAGATCATGATTGCTCTCAGCACAAATGTGTGTGATAAAGATTAATTGGCCCTGCATTTCAGCTGTACACTGTACCATCACTGACGATCTACAATAGCGACATGCACATAGCCCTATCCAAGCACACTGAGCAGACATGTCGGCTGCAAGACCACATGACTTGACAATCGGATTGTTGGGGACAGAGGTCCCAAAGAATAGTCCTATTGTACAATGGAACTATGGACACACTACAATATTGCCAGCAGTGTATGACAGTCACAATATCAATGTCTGCAACACTATCGACATCCCAATCATCAAATACCTTGCTCAATGTCCAGCGTCTTCACTGGATTCAAAATATGTGGTTCACATCTCCAATAATGACCTTCCAATACACAACATGCTGGATCCAATCAGCAACTCACTGAGTAAAACAAGTCAGTCACTATTAGAGAGATTGGAAATCATGCTGTCGGCAAAGAATTGACAGCAGAGTTTCTGGATAAATACAATGCAATCTCGCCAAATAGGGCTGTATGGGTGCATGGTAGTGCTTCATTGTCGACCAAAACACATGCTGGAGACTGATTGCATGATCAGATGTCATGGCCCATGCAATCGATCATACAAGGGTAACTAAGGCGGGGCTTCTCAAAGATTTCTTCAAATTCATGAAGGATCTAGAAGCGATACAATGTGTGTTGGACATTCCACTCATGCAGGCATCACTCCCAGATGCCTTGAAGTATGTTTCATTCCATCTCCCACCTCTCCAATGCAACTAACAACAAGGATAGAAATCTCGATCATGGCCTTATTCATGGGTGGAACCACACAACATATAACATCCCAATCTCATCCAAGGTACATCCAGAAAACTTCACTGTCAAGGGGTGGGCTCTCCTACACCACGCTGGATTCTTGACATATCCTCATCACAATGTGGAGGGGGCCTTGACATGGGTGAGGATGGAAGTAGGTGTCAAGTTTTGGGTCGTATTTTGGCTAAAGAATTGACACGACAATCACAAGCATTTACAGGAAATTGCAATAAGGTTAGGAAATCACAATGGATCAGTAATCGGGTGCCTATAGGAATAATTGGTGATCTGAGAAGTAAGAGCTATGTACCAAAGGGGGAAGTATATACCTAAATGGGGAAAGGGGTCCAGTTGAATGGAACTGATACAGGAAATAAGCTGACCAAGGTGGTGGAGTGGGTGCACTGGGCAGGGAACAAGCAATGTAAAAGTAAGGTGAAAGCAGATGATAGGATCAGGCGGAGCAGATACCAATGATGCTGGAGCAGTCAGATCTGGTATATGACACCTATCCACTTCTCCGCCCCATCCACCCACCTACTAGTCAGCCTGCTGCTAGTCGTCATTACTTCCCTGACCCTCAATCAGACCAAAGCAGTCCAACCATCCTATCATTTGACAGCATCAGTTCTACTCCAAAATCAGGGCACGTATGCGGCTAAGGGTGCAGCACAAGAGCTGAAGCCAAGCCCTGACCCCTCCACTTCTCTGTCAGAGCATGGTATCTAACAGCTACAGACCTGGCATACAAGCCTTTCCCACCAGTATTGTTCCTAGGATTAAAGGAAGACAAGATACTGAACACTGCATTAGGTAACTGGGAGCTATAAGCCCATGTAAGTCTTCTGGCACTCTGGTTTCCTCTCTGGATCTAAACCTAACCTTATGCCTATCTCCTTTAAGACCTCATTTTCTCTGGTTACTGGTTATACACTTTTCTGCCTTGCTTACTGATCTGTCTCTGTATTCATTTCTGACTCCATTTCTTTGATCTGTTATATACTTACTAATAGACTTTCTACATGCCTCATACATAACCTTTCACTATGCTTACTGATTACTTACTTGATACCTACAGGATATAAACTCCTGTAAAACTCCATACCTCCTCAGTTCAAATATCATCTTACTTCCTGCTCATTCCTGTTTCTCTGGACTTGAGTTTTCTTCCTGTCCATCTCTGAGTCTTTGGATTCAATCCTTAGACTATATCTCCAGCTCTATTTCTACTCCTGACCCTCCGGAGTTCCGCCAAACTCCCCCTACATCTGACTTGTGGACTTCCCCAGACCTTGTTGGACTTCCTTTCCACCTTCCAGAAATTAAGGGCACATACTTGGGTAAGGGGTGCAGCTCACAAGCTGGAGTCAAGCCCTGTGAGTTCTCCTTGCCTTAAGCACAACTTAACAGCTTCATAGCCCATTTCATAATGAGGACTTTCTTGTGGTGGAAGAAGAGATTCTTGTAGCTGATATGAGATTTCTTCCCAATGCCAGAGCTTGAAAATTCTGTGTCAGGTGAGTGTCATATACCTGATCTGACCGCTCCGATATTAATATCCGCTCTGCTTTCTGACCCCCTCCGCTTCATCCATCCTCTGCTCCGTCCGATCACAGTCCGCATTCCGCTCCTACATTTCCGCTCGACCACTCGACCGGTCCCCTTCCATAATGTCTCCATTCAACTGGACCTCTTTCCTCTTTTAGATATACACTTTCCCTTTCAGTACATAGACCCTTACTTCCAGATCACCAGTAAATTCCTATTACCGCTCGATTACTGATCCAACGCGTACATATTGATATCTGCTCCGACTTATGTCTTCACCTGTGTAAGTACTTACAAATTATATCCTTGGTACATAGCTTTACAACATAGTTATCCTGATCACTGCCTCCTACTTAGAAGTATATAACATATCCTGTACTTAGATATTTTCCCCAGTCTTAATATTACTTGTCTTCTCGCAGTTACTACTTGTGAGAATTCTCAGTAGGACCTTGCCTCCTCTGGACACAAGTTTCACCTTGTTGTCACCTCCGACCCTCTGACCCTCTGCTCCGACTTAGAGCCGTGCTCTAAGTCTTCTCTTTACTTCTGTCATATACCGGATCCGAGTACCCCCAGTACCACCTATAAGCATCCCCACCCCTGGTCTGACCCCCTGTTTCCCCGTCCGCTCCATTCCTCCTTCCCCGACAATGCACGAAGTGCATCTCAGCAGGATTAGCCCTGCTACCTCCGCCCGACCCCGTTCCGCTTTTCCGACACTACCCCTATGTCCCCCGACCCCATACCCCTTCCATCTGACCCTATCTGGGGTTCTGCTCCTCCGCCCTATTGGTCCACCCGATCCTACTCCTACTCCCTCTGCTTTTCCGACCCACAGGGGTCCTTCAGTTCCACTCGTATTCCCCCACCTGACTGTTAGTCCGTCCGACCGCCTCACTGGTCCACTCCTAGACTAGGAACCACTCAACTGGTCCTATCCCCGTTTAGTATCATAGTTCCGCTTTTCGGATCACCGGTAATCCCTATACCCTAGCAATTCTAATCTGTCACGTACATACTGTTCCCCGAGCCTTATTCTCATATGTCTCAGTCATCCTATTGTAATCCTGTACACTCAGCACATAGCCCTCTGCTATGCTATGCTCATCACTTAGAGTATATAAACATATGTACATTTGTCTGTAGATACTCAGTCTGAATATTACCTTTTCTAAGCCCTGCTCTTCTGCTCTTTGACTTAAGGCTTAAACCCAAGTCAACTCCTGTTTGTCGGCCTAGGGGATTGACTCCCTAGGTCGGCCACCCTCCATCCCTCCATCCCTCCGTCCCTCTGCTCCTCCGACTCCCTGTACATCGGAACTAGACCCCACAGTCTCACATCCGTCCCCTCTGTTCCGCTCTGCCTCAGACTTCGTCCAAGCAAGTTCCTTCCACTCCGCTTCTACTGTTGGTTCCGACCACAGTAGTCTCCTGCCTCCCTCCTGTCGGGTGGAACAACCCCTGCCCGACTTTCCCGTGCTCACCTAGTAGTCCGTCGGTCCTCCTTCAGAGGACCCCCGTTCCGACGTCCTGTCAGAACCCATAGAATTCGTGTCGGACTACACTCCAAAATTAGGGGCACGTACTCAGGTAAGGGGCACAGCATACGAGCTGAAGCCAAGCCCCTCAGACTCCGCTTTACCCCTGAGCACGGTCTTAACAACTTCTCCGCCCCTATCAAGTATTCCCCCTGCTCCTTTCTGCCCTCCGCATTATCTTCCACCTCCTCTGCTCCTATCAAGCATCCCCCCAGCTCCTTTCCACCCTCCCCATTATCCTCCGCCTTCTCCGCCCCACTCCTAGTCGGTCTGCCACTAGTAGCTCTTACCTCCCGACCCTCAAAGCGGACCTAAGTGGTCCACTTGTCCTATCGTCAGACAACGACGGACCCGCTCCAAATTCGGGGCACGTACTTGGCTAAGGGTGCAGTGCAAGAGCTGAAGCCAAGCCCCGACCCCTCTGCCTCTTGAGCCGGCACGGTACCTAACAGTGAGAGTAAAAATATTGCCTGCAAAATACATGAGGACTTGAGCTGTCATTAATTATACTGCTGCCTTACAATAACTGCTGCCCATGCTATTGATCCTGGTGTGACTTAACAGACACTCAACTTGAAAGAGTTGGTATGTGCACTGCTACCACTTGACCCTTGGTGGAGCAAGGTGATGCCATGCAACAAAGCTGTCAGAATATAAGTAGTGATTCATAGTAAGATAGATCATTAACACAAGAAGGTCCCCCACCTGCCTAACATATGTGGCTGTGCCTCAATTTGACCCAAACCCAATACTGTAGGGACCTGTCCTAGGGTTTTTCAAGTGTAGGAATTGATTGGGAATGGTCCCAGAGCATCCCAAGGTTGTCTATGGTGTTATATGGTGGGTGAGCCAAAATAACAGTATTTCGGCCATATCTCCATAACCAAACCACTGTTTGTCTTAATTCTTGGCTCATATCATTCCTGGAGGTACCCTCTATGAAATGTACCAGCCCAAAAGGAGATATTTTTTTTTGCAAGTTTGAAACCTATTTCTGTTTTGACCTTATAAGTCTTTCTTATTGTATTCCTTATTCTTAACCTTGTCCTTGTCCTTGTCTTTTGCTTGTTTTCTTGATCTTTGCTGTCATAGTCTTTCTTATCGTATTGCTTATCCTTATCCTCATCTGGGGTGATGCGTGGGCCAAGGTCAAAACCTTGTTCTGACTTGGCTTGATTTTGCTTGATTTTTGCTATTTTTTTTTTGCTATTGGGATGCTTGATTTTGAGGTCAAAACCTTGTTTCAACTTGGTTTGATTTTGCCTTATTTTTGCTATTTTATCACTCTGGTGTTGCTTGATTTTGCTTGCTTTCTTATGTTGTATCGTATCATATCCCTTATCCTTGTCCTGGTCTTTTGATCTTGATTTTTGCTATTTTATTGCTATGGTAGTCTCTTGTTATCATATGGCTTGTCTTGCTATGGCATGGTACTGAGAAATGAGACACTGAGAGAATATGTTCTTAGCCGATGTAAGCTGCCACATTTTTTATACTATACAGAGCGCTAACTAGACATAGAATACATTCTCTTGTCAGGTACTATACTTGTGCTATGGAGTTTCTATTAGATACTGAGATAATACATTCTCTTGCCAGCTCACTCTCTGCGTCCAGTCAAACTTATAACTAAATCTTCCACATTGGACATTGGCTGAGGCTCTTGATCTGACGCCCCCATGATTGAATCATAAGATGTGCAATTTGTATCTTTGTCAGCAAACCGTTGAATCCAGGGGTATTTAGTCACGTGAGGTATGTATGACTAATATGTTCTGGCACAGGGATTACTATGGTCGGGTCAGAGTTGTGAAACACCTCATAACACACACAACAATACATCTCAAGTCCCCTACTCTTTGATGTAAGACTTTAAAACATAGACCCATAGTACTGTATAGTTTCTGTTAGTTATTGACAATCAATCATGACTGTCAGAGAATGCTCAAACGTGACAGTTTACAGTGGAGAACTAATTTTGCAGGTTGCGGCAGTGCAGCTGCGAGCGATTGCCGATCACTTTGACTCTGAGATTGTGTGCAATTGCTGTCTGGGTTCAAATTTGTTTGTGACACAGTGTGACACTAGTGCCAGCAAGTGCATGAAA